CTGCACATGGAAGTTATTTGATTATGCATATAGGGCTGATATATCTCTCTTTTAAGGTGGGATTGCAAGATTAACCTTATGCAACTTAAATATATATGAGTTTAAATTTTATTAAAATAATTCAGATGTTAATACAAGTATACAGTTCACATGTCCTAGTCTCATGGCGTAATCTTGAAATCTAAATGTGTTTTTTGAGGCTTTACTCACCCAACACACTTCTGGATTTGTGGTCGCCTGGGATAGTCTTCTGAGGACAACATTTTTTCATGAATGGCAAACAAACCTCCAATTATGATATGTCCTGGAGAAGTGGCAGCCACAAAGTCATCAGGGGTCTGGCAAGGGTGGGAAGTTGCAAGGATAATCACAAAGCAGGTAATCAGTATAATCAATAATGCCATATTTCTATCTCACTTGCCGAGTTCGTGTGAATTCTTAGGAATCATTAAGCTCACAGAGTGCCAATAACGAGGTTCCTATTTCACCTGTAAACACCTTGTAAGGTATAGGACAGTGTCAAGTGCCAGAAACACTCAATATTCAGATACCTGATGATAGTCAAAACAGTTCTTTCACCAATAAGAATATATCAGACTCTCTAAAATTCCAGTGTTGAAGATGTGTGACAGTTGTCATGCTAGGTAAAAGCTGATAGAATTACAAACACAGGTCTCATTGTAATAGGACTCTTTTACTCCAGTGATATGCCAAGGGCTTTGAGTCACACTGGCATTTCTTTTGAAGCAGAATGTAGAACCTTCAGGAAGAAGCAGTTTGGGAAAGATTCCCCACTTTAGAAATAGACTGCTGTATTTTCAAAGGTATAACATTCAAGGCACAAAGAATTCAATATAGTTTAATCAACTGTTTAGAAAAAAAGATCCTGCTTTTATTTTTCCTGAAAAGCTCCATTAAAAAATGAAATTCAATTAAATTTAGGTATTAGTCACTTCCAGTTTACACATGTTAGAAATAAGTAGCTTTTGTGGTGATGGGCAAAGCTAAAAACAAGATGAAATTTGTCTAATACAGTGTTTTGCTTTGAACAGGAAAGGTCTTTTCAGGGATCGTTGACATTTCCACCATTGTTTGTGCTATATTGTTTTTATAAATTTGGGACTAATTTAAGTTTACATGTTCTTAAATGCTTACGAGTCTGAACTAACAAGGTTTGATGGGCATCTTTTGGAATTCAACAGACGATAGATAAATCTCAACAACTTAGGCACAATTAAGAAAAATTTAGTTTTCAAAATCAATCTTTTAAAAATATTTGATAAAAGAAAATATCTCATGGGCAGGCAGCTACAAATTCAACATAATCAGTTTGTGTGATGGGTAGCAGATACATTTAAAGGAATTCCAAAAAATAAAAGAGTACAATAGTATTTTTTTTTCATTCTCTCAGTTAGCCTTAGATTACAAGGACATGTGTGAATATGCCAACTGAGGAGTGGAGAAATCACAGCTCATCACACAGTTTCTTAAGTTTCTTAAGAAAACTTAAGTTTTCTTAAGTTTTACCTTTTTTACCAATGGCAGGATTTCCTATTAGGAAGCAAACCAGTTAACTTCAGTTGTCCAGAAAGTTTAATAAACACACACAAATTTGAAGACTCTTCAAATGCTTAGCAACTATATTTTACTCATATTAATCTTATTTGTGAATGTATCCATGTATGTGTGTGTACAACTGGATGGATTTCTGTTTTTATGAATTTAGTTATTTTTCTCAGATGACCTCAAAGGTCTCACATCATTGCAAGTTCAAAGTTGACTTTGGTAAAACAATACTAAAAATTAGAAATTCCAATCATTTTCCTGCAAAATTATACAAGTATTCAGCAACTCAGAGTGATTCCGAAGATATGTAGTCCAGACCTGACATTTATTTGAAAAATCAATACTAATGATTTCTTTTAGATTGCAATTTTAACAGTATTTAATCTGTCGAAACACAAAGATAAAGCACATTTTTCTTATTTAAATAAATACAATTTAAGTTTGAAGATCTCTATCCATAAAGGAGCCTCTGAAAGTAGAAAATCAAAGGTTTAGAACCCCCCCTGCCCTGTAAAGTTCCGTATGTCGGATCTCGTGTGGTAGAAAGGGCTCAGGCTTTGGTCGCTGACCGGCCTCGGTGGCTCTGCCTACCACTTAGCTATGTGACTATGCGTGAGTTACGTTACTTCTCTGAACAACACTTTCTCATCTATAAAACAGTTGATACTCCATCTAATGGGTATGTCGTGAGATTAGCTGCACTGCTTTGTGAAGCTCCTGAATTCCATAGGCACTCAATAATTAGCTCCCTCCTTTCCCTTCCCAAAACCAAACTGAAAGTTATCATTTCCTAAATTCGGAGTGCCTTCTACAGCTGGCTAAATCATTGTTCAGAGATTTTTCTCAAACATCTTAAATGCATGCCTGGTAGAAATGATTATTTTCATAATAGTACCACTAGTTGGTTATTGTGTCCCTAGAATGGAAAGTCAACACTGAATTAAGGTTGAAGGAAGATGGAGAGTATGTTAATTATTTAAGAATTCCACTGGACACATTATTGTCACTGTTGTAGTTTCTATTATTATCAGGGTTTAATTTGGGAGCAGGAATAGAACTCTTAGCCATAATTTAGGATCTGCAGTTATTGCATATTTTTTTGCTATTTAAAAACACTTATAAATGACAACAATAACTATTTCTATTCCAAACGATTATGATTTTTACCTTAAATAATTATTTCTCAGGGGTAAAACCTCTTGAAGAAATTTTGAGATATGAATTACTAATGGGACTAGTTTGTTCTTCCTTTTGATCTCAAGGTTCTATATTTCTTTGTAACTATCTTATTTGAAGAACTATCTTGTTAATATTACTTAAAGGGAAGTATGAAAGTGTTATCACTTCCCAAGTAATTTTCATAAATATACCCTTGCCCTGGTTAGACAAGCATAGTAGGAAAGTATTAATATAATCAATGATTAAGGATGCTTTATTCTAACATTATGAGTCTGTAGCACCTGAGGTGGATGGATGGCTTCCCCCATGATGAAAGGCTGCAGTAAAGATTGGGTCAGGCTGAAAATGGTGCTGTGGGAGCAGAGGCACGGAATACAGCATCAGCACTCCAGAAAACTCTCCAGCGAGTGAGGTGTGGCACCTATCTTCTTTTAGTACCTTAGTTTTCCCTCCTGTTATCCCAGCTTCCCAGGCACCCTCTTCAACTGCACACCCCTCTTTCATACTTCACTGAATTCCATACTAATGATGACACCACAAAATTAGTTTCAGTGATATTTGCATCTGCTATAAGATTTTTAAAACAGAAACATCTTCAACACCAAAGGAATACATTTAAAACAATAAAACAATAGTATTTCAGTTATCCGCAAGAGGAGTCAGATGAAGTAAGTACAGCATGGCAGTGACCCACGAGGAAGGAACCCTTGGGCCACACCATGCGGGCAGCTGATGACGATGCCAGCACACAGAGCCAGCCTGACAGAACAGGTCAGAGTGCCGCCTCTGAAGGGAAAGGAGAAGGCTACATCAGTGTTACGAAGGTAGATGCCAATATCTACAGCCTACGGGGAAAATAAACAGAACTTAAGAATAAGTTCTGACTCATCATTCCATATTGTCAATCTCTTTCAGTTTTTTTCTTAGGACAACGCAAACAAAAATATATTTAGCTAAAACAAGCAGGTATTCAAAACACAATGCCACATTTACATTTATTTGATCAACATTCAATTTGAATGCATTTTTCTGTTTGTGATGTGCTTCCCTTGCACAATAATCCATTATCAAGAAGTCACAACAGGAGAGATTGGACCCTTATGAACACAGTCTTAAGTGCTGAGCTATGAATCCCACAGACTCAACACTTTCAGCTTGCATTCTTGTGCTAATGTCTTACATGTTTATTTAATCCTCCCTTTATTTCCTAATTTTCATGTGCTTGCTATTACCTCTTCAACTAGATTGATGCTTTTTGAAGGCTGAGTTAGAGTTTTATACCTCCTTTGTATATCTCATAGTTCAGTGTTTCAAAAATATACCTACAGTTTTGTCATGTATTTAACTATGTTACAAATATATTGCTCAGTTTAAGCATTTTATTGGTGATAAGTCATTAATAAGCTCCTAGTAGACAGATGAGCCCCAGTAAATAAATCCAAGCTATAGTTCTCACTAATCATCATCTTTCATAGCCTATGGCTATTATCATTTGCCCATAAAAATATAGATATTAATTCATATTGACTAATAGCATTAAGTGCTAGAAGGATATCACTGCACTTTAAATAAAAAGTTCAATAAAGCATCTGCTAGAGGTAAAATTATAACACCTAAGTTTCCAATGAATCTAGCTGGGTGCCTACCTAAGAAATTTATTTCATTTAGTTGGATTTCAAATAGAGGAAGGTTGGTCCTTAACAAGTTTATAAAATAACTAAGTCAGATTTTTGTCCTCCTGTATCCTTTCCCTCATTGGATACCCTGTTTCCCTGTATTTACCCACCGGGCTCAGTATTCTATCACTGTGCTATTCCATATTGAATTATCATTTATCACTGCAATGCTTCTGCTTCATCATGCACCATCTTCTCCTGCTGTTCCCATGTCTGTCTGTAATTGAAATCTCCCTCCTGGCACTTTTTTATTTACCATTTAGTTTTAACATTAGGTGATTAATTTTCTTTAATGTACAACATAGGGGATATTATCCTGCTTACGGTACCCTAGGAGGTCTATGGATGGACTTCATGGAAGTCTGTGAATCCCTTGAAACTGTATAACAATTTTGAGTGAACATGCATATGTAGATTTTTCTGGGGAGAGCATTCAGTGCTTTTATCAAATTATCAAAAGGTCTGTGTCCCCCAGAAAAGTGAAAAGCCACTATCTGTTAAAACAGATTTTTCCCCTTCCTCCCAGGGAACACAAGAATGTTTTCTGAGATAATGATCTTGCCTTTGTTGTTACCTGTTTGTAGCTAAAACCATCCTCATTAAGCTCCCACCAACAACTTCATCATGTGCTTGATACACATTACCATTTAATAACATTAGTCAAAATATTATGTTAGCAAAGTCTCATTGCCCAAAATCATTTCTCATCCATACTAAAGTAGAGCACTACCCTAAGAAGCCCACATGTACTTACTTTATTTACCACAAAATGAAGTGAAGAATGATTATTTTCTGGTGAAGTTAAGCAGTAGTAATAATCTGCAGTGTTTTATTAGTTCAGAACAGGCCAACTTGTTCACTTTCAAAGCTATTTTTAAATTTCGTTTCTACTTATACAAAAAGTTGACTGTTATTAAAATAATTATTTTGTTGTAATGTGAAGAAATATATAACAGTTGACTCTTGAACAATATAGGTTTGAA